AAAAACTCATAGATGTGTGGAGCACCGAGTACATGACCATCGTTCGCATAATATTCCTCGACCCTTTTCGAATTTAGTTTAAAATTCGTTAAAATCTCCTCTCTGATAACAATAGTCTTTGCGCAATTTGCTTACATCAAATCATCTAAAATACGCTTGGTGTATTGGTAATCGGAAATATCTCCTGATGCGCCTATAACCGTGAAGTCTCCTACTGGGTGAATACGCTCAATATCCTTAAAACGGGCCAGCGAACCGTAGGATGCTAAAAAGATCAAATGGCGTTTAATTTGTCCCAACATAAAAAAAAATTCTTCCAATAGAATTCGTGAATACCCAAATTGTCTGCAGCTAACATCACGCCGTCTTTATACTTCAAGGCAATCACAGAAGTACCAGTCACTATGGGTTGTCTATGAACGACCAAAAGAAGGTACCATTAATTACGTGAATGACTACTAGTTTCAAACGAAGGAATTGAGTACGAACTGAGTTCGTGTAATGATCTCATTTTTCGGTTTTACATGAGGAGGTAACGTTTGATGCTGAGCAACATCCTCTCGTTGAGAATTTCCCCAATGATCCATATTTTATATGTTTAATTTGAAAGGCAAAGGATACGTACGTACGTGTGTGCGTGCGTATATAATTTTTTTTATTAGTGAATTAGCACGTGATTATGATCTGTGTGTTACATAAATAGCAAAGTTTCGAAATAAAAAAATCCTTCTCCTTTACTTCTTCACCACAGAATTAGTCAATCGAAATGGTATGTCTCTTTCGTACGACTTTTCTAAATAGAACAACAGGGATTTATGCTGACATGAATAGCGAAAGGCATTTCCTTTATGCTAATTGTTGAAAATGGCGTCATAATAAAATATCTCTTAAAATATCAGAACAAGATCTCTGAAATAACATTTAATTGGCACATTTTCATCATTTATCATTTTTGTCATTACGAATGCAAATAATGAAACCTTCGACTCACGCAGCAAAAGAACGAGATCAAAACTTTGAACGTCTAAAATATTTTTTTGACAAAATATTATTCATGATTTTCAGGGTATCGACATCAAAAAGCATCACGTAAGGAACAAGAACCGGACCGCTCCAAAAAGCGAGGATGTATACCTCCGATTGTTGGTGAAGGTATGATCTCTGTCATTCG